GAGCCCATCAGGTCGAGGTTGCGAAGGCCGGGAGCGGCCACTGCACTCCAGTCTGGATGACAGAGACTTTAACTCAAAAAAAAAAAAAAAAAGACGCATAAGGAGATCTTAGCAGAATGGACTGTGAGCAGAATCAAATTCTTGAAACAATCCCCGGATCTAGGTCTTAGCTATGACCAAGAGCAATCCTCTCTTTATTCTTTGGCTAGGTACTAGCATGTAAATTGCCTCATCTCATCAGCTGTACTGAGATGTCATTTACAAGGAGTAAAACGCTTTTTTAAAGTGTACAGCTTGATAGTTTTAACAAATATACATTGTCTTGTAATTACAAGCTGTAGAGCCTTCCTTCATCCCCAGGAAGTCTCCCTTTTCCCGACATCTGGTTCCTGGCAACCACTGACTGATTTCTGTTCTGTATTTTGCCTTTTCCAGAATGCCATGTAAATGGTATCACAGTATTTAGCCTTTTGTATTTTACACTTTGTAATCTATCCATAGTGTTGCATGTGTCAGTCATGTATTCTTTTGTTTTTTTTTCTTTTGAGTTTTCTTAACTCTTTCGCCAGGTTGGAGTCCAGGAGCACACTCACAGCCACTGCAGCCTCAACCTGCTAGGCTCAGGCTAGTGTGTTCTTTTCCGTTGCTGAGTGATGTTCTGTTATATGGATATTTGAGTTGATTTAGCTGTTATGAGCAAAGCTACTATCAATATTCCAAATGGGTCTTTGTGTAGACATGTCTTTATTTGTCTTGGTTAAAAATACCTAGGAATGGCACCTCATTTTAACTTTATGAGGGAGGCATTCTCCCTTCTAATAAAAAACTACATCTCAGGCCGTGTGTCGTGGCTCACACCCGTAATCCCAGCACTTTGGGAGTCAGAGACGAGAGGATTGCCTGAGTCCAGGGGTTTGAGAACAGCCTGGGCAACATGGTGAGACCTTGTCTCTACAATAAATAAAAAAATTAACCAGGCGTAGTGGTGCGCACCTGTAGTTCCAGCTGCTTGAAAGGCTGAGGCAGAAGAATCACCTGAGCATAGCAGGTGGATGCTGGGGTGGCAGTGAGTGTGCCACTGCACTCCAGCCTGGGCGACAGAGACTCCGACTCAAAAACAAAAAACTACATTTTGGGCAACACGATAAACAGAGCATGCTTCTAGGAGACATTTCTTTATTGGAAGAAGTGAATACTTAGTCTCTTAGGATAAAGTCCTGCTTCTGATGGAAGGGTCGCTGGGCCTGATCCCCTTGACTAATGAGGGAGAGTTTAAGGAGAACTGCTCTTCTTTCTTCCTTGCAGTTACAGAGGAAAGACATGAAGAGCCAGCGTTCCAGAACTTCATGCAAGAATCAGTGGCACAGTACTGGAAGAGAAACAACAAACAGTAGATGTTAAGATACTGCACTTGTTTCCAGGCGTCACAATTTTGGAACTCCATGTGAACGACCTGTCCGTACTTCTGCCTGGGGCACTATAAAGGCCAGTGTTCCTCAGAGCAGCAGAGTTTTTATTAGAGAAATCTCATGAATGATGAAGTCAGGGATTGAAGGTATGGCATGTAGATGCTGATTCTTCTGTGGCCTTCCCTCGTACGTATGTAAGGAAGGGTATAGTGACTGTTCTTGGAAGCTGAAATTTCTTCACACCCCAGACTGCAAGTTTTAGCATTTGAACTAAAGGACATTTGCTCCTGCTGGGGGAATGGAGAGAGCCTGGTCCCTGGTCACCACTCCAGGTCTCTGTTGTGAAGCTGTACCGTGGCCTCTGCCTCCCCAGTATCCTGCCTTACTCTGCACCGTGAGTTGCCCTTCTTTGAGCACGAAGCGGGAGACATGAGCTTGTCCGGAGCGGCTGTGGACATCGATGTTGGTACGAAATGTGCCTCGCACTGGATAGCAAGTGGGAAAACCATATGATTGTTGAATAAGAATCCTGTTTAAGTGGAGACTTGGATCGCGTTTTTAATTTTAACTTTGTCGTAAGCCTGTTACTCGGAAGGCTGTCATGATTTCAAATTAGAGAATTGTAGAATCACAAATATATTCCCTTCTGCTTATCAGAATGTTCAAACTTGTCTCAACAAGGAGGTGATATTAACTAAAGTTTCCCATGTACGCACACCTAGTAGCCAGGTATAGAAACAGGCCCTGTTTGTATTGTACCTTGAACTTAATGCAGATTCTCTTTGGTGATTTGTGCATAGGCCATGGATTTGGGTCAAGTGCACATTCCACACAACAGCCATGACAAGTGTGCCCTGACCCCATATTCTTTGTAGTATCTCAAATGTACATTTTTCTCGAGAAACATTATCCCTGCCTCGTCTATATTCCAGCTTAGTGATTCTCAAAATGTGGGCCGGAAACATCAGCCTCATCACCTGGGAAGTTGTTAAGTGTACCTCTTAAAACCTACTGGGCTAGGCGTGGTGGCTGACAGCTGTAACCCTAGCACTTTGGGAGGCAGAGGTGAGAGGACTGCTTGAGACCAGCCTAGGCAACATAGTAAGATCTCATCTCTACAAAAAGTCAAAAAATTAGCTGGGCATGGTGGCACTCCCCTGCTGTCCCAGCTACTCAGGAGGCAGAAGGATCGCCTGAGCCCAGGAGGTTGAGGCTGTAGTGAACTGTGATTGTACCACTGCACTCCAGCCTGGACAACAGAGTAAGATCCTAACTCAAACAAACAAAAAAAACGACTGAATCAGGAACAGGGTGGGGCCCAGCAGGCTGCTTTAGCAAGCCCTCCATGAGATTCTGGGCACACTAGTTGGAGAACTACTGCTCCAGCTCCAAAAGCCCTTGACATCATTCCAGGTCAGGTGAATCTCAGGCACCCATCCTCACAGGGCTTGCCTTGTCAAAACATTCTAACCTTAATTCTTTGGTGCCTGTTCTCCAATTTGACATTCTACAACAGTAAAAGTATTTTACCATAAGGCATTACTTTCGATATTCTATTCAGTAGGAACCACTGGCCTAAAAATTTGAACCAGCTTTTTAAGGGGAAACCACTTGCAAAGCAAAACTCGGAACATACTTGGTTTTTCTCTGTATTAATTTTGAATACCTCATCTTGCTTAAAGAATAACCTCTCAGCCGGGCTTGGTGGCTCAGCCTGTAATCCCACGCTTTGGGAGGCTAAGGTGAGTGGATTGCCTGAGCCCGCGGGTTTGAGACCCGCCTGGACAACTTGGTGAGACCTCATCTCTACAATAAATCAAAAATTAGCCAGGCGTGGTAGCGCACACCTATAGTTTCAGCCACTTGGAAGGCTGAGGCAGAAGGATCGCCAGAGCCCAGCAGGTCGAGGCTGCGGTGGCCGGGAGCAGCCATTGCACTCCAGTCTGGGTGACAAAGTGAGACTCCAACTCAAAAAAAAAAAAGAATAACCTCTCGACCATCCTTTTCTTGGGGTTGAGCTACTGTCTAATGAGCGTTTAGTGAGGGCAGTACTGCTAACGCCTACACAGGACACCTATGTCAACTAGAGCTTTGCTTTATCTTGGTGCAATTTTTGGAAAAAAGAAACATCTCTTTTCCACCATCTGTAAACTAAAATAAAAAGGCAGGCCAAAAAAAACTTTCGCTGTTAAAAAAAAAGAAAAAAGAATAACCTCTCTCCTTTATGCTATAAGTGCAGGAAATGTTGTAATCATCTTTGTATCCCTTGCACAGGACCTAGTAAATAATAGGTACTCAATACATGTTTGCTAAATAAATGGATTAAATACCCAGATGGCCACATTTATTAATAAAGGATAATGGCCAAGTGTGGTGGCTCACACTTGTTTTTTTTGTTTGTTTGTTTTGTTTTTGAGTTGGAGTCTCACTCTGTCGCCCAGACTGGAGTGCAGCAGCCGCTCCTGGCCACCGCAGCCTTGAACTGCTGGGCTCCGGCGATCCTTCTGCCTCAGCCTTCCAAGTAGCTGGAATTACAGGCATGTGCTACCACGCCCAGCTGATTTTTAAATTTTTATTGTATTGTAGAGATGAGGTCTCACTGCCCAGGCGGGTCTCGAACCCGCGGGCTCAGGCAATTCACTCACCTCAGCCTCCCAAAGGCACGGGATTACAGGCTGAGCCACCAAGCCCGGCTGTGGCTCACACTTGTAATCTCAATACTCTAGAAGCCGAGGTGGCAGGATTGCTTGAGCTCAGCAGTTTGATCCAAGCCTGGCAACATAGTGAGACTTTGTCTCTACAAAAAGTCAAAAAATTAGATGGGTATAGTGACATGCCCCTGTAGTCCTAGCTGCTCAGGAGACTGAGGAAGAAGGATCACCTGAGCCCAGGAGGTTGAGGCTGCAGTGAGCTGTGAGGGTGCAACTGCAGCCTGGGTGAAAGAGTGAGATCCCATCTCAAAAAATAAATTAATTAAAAATAAGGTAATATGAAGGAGACAGAAGGGTTTAGATAAGTGGGCTAAGGAATTATAATTAGCAAATTTATAAGTGATCTGTTAACAGTAGATTGTAACCTCATTTTATTGCTATTGCATTCATCTTTATTAATACCTAGGACACTTAAAGCACTCACTAATGTACTAATTAAACTGTGCCTTATTTTTGGTCTCTATTAAAAGGAATGGTCTAAGTTTTACAACACTGGTATTCTGCATCAAAAAACCAGACTTCTGCAGCTTACTGAACATGCTGGTACCTGTTTCCAGGGCACAGAGCACACATTTGTTAACTACTCCCAGTCACTACTGCATGACATCACTTAGTGATATTGACAGATAGTCAGGTGAAGACTGTGAAGGATGAGAACCAACAGCAATGTCCAGGACATGCTGTAAAGCTGAAAGGTTGCCCGTCCAGGAGCAGCACGGTATATGGAACTTGGCAGAGAATGGACCACTTCCCTCCTATGGCTGAGCAGATGCAACAAATGAAGGGAGCAAATCCTGTCCTTAGCACCTGCTTGCATCATTCACAGAGGAGAAATTGAGGCTGGGTGTGGTGGCTCACACTTGTGGCCCAGCACTTTGGGAGGGTGGGATGACAGAATTCCCCGAGCCCAGCCTGGACAACATGGCAAGACCTCGTCTCTACAATAAATAAAAAAAAACATGGTGGAAGTACTTAAGAGTCTGAGTCAGCAGAAATGAAGGCAAAAAGGATGAAGATTAAGTCTAGAGAAGAAGAAAATATGTGGATGAGATAGGAGATGGTTGACCTAATAGCAAAAAGGCTATGTCATAAAGTCTCAGACAAGCAAACACTTAGGGAATTTGTCTTTAGACCAGCTCTGTAAGAAATATTCAAGGGAGTTCTAAATATTGAAATAAAAGGTTGAGATACACTAGTAAAAAACACTGGAAATCGCAAAGCTTACAGGGCTCATAGAACACCAACACAATAGAGAAAAAGCAACCAGTTTAACCAACACGAATGGAATAGTACCTTCCATATCACTATTAGCCCTGAATGTAAATGGCCTCAATATTCTACTTAAAAAGCCGGGCTCGGTGGCTCAGCCTGTAATCCCGTGCTTTGGGAGACTAAGGTGAGTAGATTGCCTGAGCCTGCAGGTTCGACACCCGCCTGGGCAACTTGGCGAGACTTCATCTCTACAATAAATCCAAAATTAGCCAGGCGTGGTAGCGCACACCTGTAGTTCCAGCTGCTTGGAAGGTTGAGGTGGAAGGATCACCGGAACCCAGCAGGTCGAGGCTGCAGTGGCCGGGAGCGGCCACTGCACTCCAGTCTGGGTGACAGAGTAAGACTCCAACTCAAAAAAATAAAAAATAAATAAAAATATTCCACTTAAAAGATATAGACTGGAAGCTGGGCACCATGGCTCATGCCTGTAATCCCAGCATTTTGAGAGGCAGTGGGAGGACTGCCTGAGTCCAGGGATTCGAGGCCAGCTTGGGCAACATGGTGAGATCTTGTTTCTACAATAAATCAGAAAATCAGTCGGGTATGGCGTATGCCTGTGGTTCCTGCTTCTTGGAAGGCTGAGGCGGAAGGATCACCTGAGCCCAGCACGTCAAGGCTGTGGTGGCCATGAGCGTGCCACTGTACTCCAGCTTGGGTGACAAGCTAAAAAAAAAAGGTGTCATGCCAGAGTTGGCACAGGTGAAAGAAACTGCCCAATCTTTTTTTTTTTTTTTTTTTGAGTCGGAGTCTCACTCTGTCACCCAGGGTGGAGTGCAGTGGCATGCTCATGGCCACCACAGCTTCGACCTGCTGGGTTCAGGTGATTCTATCGCCGCAGCCTTCTAAGTAGCTGAAACCATAGGCATGCGCCACCATGCCTTGCTGATTTTTTGATTTATTGTAGAGATGAGGTCTCGCCATGTTGCTCAGGCTGGTCTCGAACCCGAGCTCAGGCAATCCTCTCACCTCTACCACCCAAAATGCTGGGATTACAGGCATGAGCCACCACGCCCAGCTGTCACTCTTTCTTTTTGCTGTTCTTTCTCTAATCAACTTTGAAACTTACAAAATAAAGAAAAAGATATAGATTGGAAAGGTGCAGTGGCTCATGCCTCTAATCCCAGCATTTTGGGAGGCAGAAGCAAGAGAATTGCCTGAACCCAGGGGTACGAGACTAGCTTGGGCAACTTGGTGAATCTCTTCTCCACAATAAATAAAAAAAATTAGCCAGGCATGGTGACACATGCCTGTGGTTCCCGCTACTTGGAAGCCTGAAGCAAAAGATCACTTGAGCCCAGCAGGTTGAAGCTCAGTAGCCATGAGCGTGCACTGTGCTCCAGCCTGGGTGAGAGTGAGACTTCTCAAAAAAAAAAAAAAAAAGAAGAAGAAGAAAGAAAATGGCAGAATGGATTTAAAAAAAATAATTGAATCCAAATATATGTTGCCATGAAATACCCACTTAACACAAAAGGACTTGTATACTCAATGAAAAGGAGTGGAAAAAAAAATTCCATGCAAATGGAAACCAAAAACAAGCAGGAGTAGCTATTCTTTTATCAGATAAAACAGACTTTAACAACAATGAAAAAAGACAATGTTATTATATAAATAACCAACAAGGAGATATAATAATTTTAAATATATATTCACCAAACATCAGAGCTCCTAGCTTTACAAAACAAATTCTACTAGATCCAAGAAAAGTGATAGCAATACTATATATAACAAGTGGGATAGTTCAGTACGCCATGGACAATAGATAAACAAGGCATAAAGTCAACAGAGACATTTGAGCTAAACTAGACTCTAGAGCAAATGGACCTAACAGACACATACAGAACATTTCACCCAAAACTACAGAATATTTTTTTTCCCCATCAGCATATGGGATGTTCTCCATGAAAGGCCATATGATAGGCCATAAATCAAGTCTCAATAAACTCAAACAAATTGAAATCATTTCAAGCACCTTTTAAAACCACAGTGGAATAATACTAAAAATTAATTCAAGTACTCTCAACTCCAAATAAACACATGGAAATTAACCAATCTGTTCCTGAATGATCTCCAGGTCAACAATGAAATCAAGATGGAAATATAAAAATTCCTTGAAATGAATGACAATGATACATGTTATCAAAACCTCTGGAATACAGCCAAAGCTGTACTCAGAAGAAACTTTATATTGCTTAAAGCTTATATGAAAAAGACTGAAAGATCACATATTGACAACTTTCTGTCACACCTCAGGGAACTGAAAAAACACAAACCAACCAAACCAAAAGCTAGCAGAAGAAAAGAAATAATGATCAGAGCAAACAAGATCAGAAGAAATAAGATCAGAGCAAAACTCAATTAAATTGAAACAACAAAATATAAAGGAGTAATGAAACAAAAAATGGGTTGTTTGAGAAGATAAAACTGATAGATCACTCGATAGATTTTTTTTTGAGTTGGATTCTCACTCTGTTGCCCGGGCTGGAGTGCAGTTTCATACATATCAATCCTTCTGCCTCAGCCTGCCTTGTAGCTGGAACTACAGGTTCACGCCACCACATCCAGCTAATTTTTTTATTTACTGTAGAGATGAGGTCTCGCCATGTTGCCCAGGCTGGTCTCGAACCCCTGAGCTCAGGCAATTCTCTCGCCTCTGCCTCCCAAAGTGCTGGGATTATAAGCATGAGCCACCACACCCAGCTACCACTAGCTAGATTAAGAAATAAAGACAGAGCTGGGCTCGGTGGCTCAGCCTGTAATCCCATGCTTTGGGAGGCTGAGGTGAGTGGATTGCCTGAGCCCGCAGGTTTGAGACCTGTCTGGGCAACTTGGCGAGACCTCATCTCTACAATAAATCAAAAAACTAGCCAGGCGTGGTAGCGCACACCTGTAGTTCCAGCTACTTGGAAGGCTGAGGCGGAAGGATCGCCGGAGCCCAGCAGGTCGAGGCTGTGGTGGCTGGGAGCGGCCACTGCACTCCAGTCTGGGCGACAGAGTGAGACTCCAACTCAAAAAAAAGAAAAAAAAAGAAAAACTCAAACTCTGTATGCCAACAATATGATCTTATACCTAGAGATTCCTACAGACTCCTGGACTTGATAAATGAATTCCGTAAAGTTTCAGGATACAAAACAACAAGCACAAATCAGTAGCACTGTTATACACCAATAGTAACTGAGCTGAGAATCAAATCAAGAACTCAATTCCATTTACAACAGCAGCCTAAAAAGCTAAAATACCTAAGAATACTTAACCAAGGAGGTAAAAGATCTCTACAAGGACAACCAAAAAACACTGATGAAAGAAATTGTGGAGGACACAAACAAAGGGAAAAACATCCCATGCTCATGGATTGGAAGAATCAACAGCGTTAAAATGACCGTTTTACCCAAAGTAATCTATAGATTCGATGTAATCCCCATCTACCAATGTCATCTTCAAAAAATCAGAAAAAAATTCCAAAATTCACATGGAACCAAAAAAGCTAGAATAGTTAAAGCAATCCTGAGCTAAAAGAACAGAACTGGAGGCATCATATTACCCGACTTCAGATTATACTACAAGGCTGAAGTAAAAACAGCATGTCACTGTTACAAGAGCAGACACATGGACCAGTGGAACAGAATAGAGAATCCAGAAATAAACCCAAATACCTACAACGAGCTGATCTTTGACAAAACAGACAGAAACACACTGCAGTAGGGATATCCTATTCAAAAAATGGTCCTGGGAAAACTGGATAGCTACATGGCAGGAAAATGAAACTTGATATCCCTCTCACCATATATAAAAATTAACTCAAGATGTAGTAAAGACTTGAATGTCAGACCTGAAACCATAAAAATCCTATAAGAAAACCTGGAAAAAACTCTTCTGGACATTGGCCTAGGCAATGACTTTATGGTTAAAACCCGAAAAGCAAATGCAACAAAAACAAAAATAAACAAGTGGGACTTAATTAAACTAAAAAGCTCTGCACAGTAAAAGAAATAGTTAACAGAGTACTTACACTACCTACAGAACGGGAGATGTTTCCACCTATACATTGGACAAAGAACTCAATCAAATCAGCAAGAGAAAAGCAAGTGACCCCATTAAAAAGTGGACAAATTGTATGGACATCCCTCAAAAAGGTATACAAATAGCCAAAAGATTATGAAAAAATGTTCAACATCACTAATCATCAGGGAAATGCACATTAAAACCACAATGAGATACCACCTTACACCAGTAATAATAACCATGATTAAGAAATCAAAAAACAAGCCAGGCATGATAGCTCACGCCTGGAATCCCAGCACTTTGGGAGGTGGAGGTGAGAGGACTGCCTGAGTCCAGAAGTTTGAGACTAGCTTGAGCAACCTGGCGAGACCTCATCTCTACAATAAATCAGAAAATTAGCGGGGCATGGTGGTACGTGCCTGTGGATCCAGCTACTTGGGAGGCTGAGGCAGAAGTATCACCTGAGCCCTGCAGGTCGAAGCTGCAATGGCTATGATAGTGCCACTGCACTATAGCCTGGGTGACAAAGTGAGATCCTGACTCAAAAAAAGAAAAAAAGATTTTGGCACAGATGTGGTGAAGGGAGAATGCTTATACGCTGTTGGGGGAGTGCAAATTAGTACAACCTCTATGGAAATATGGATAGAGGTTTCTCAAAGAAGGAAATCTACCACTTGACTCAGCAGTCCCATTACCAGGTCACTATCCAAAGAAAACAGGTCATTATCCAAAAAAGACACCTGTACCTGCACATTTATCACAGCACAGTTCACAACTGAAAGATGTAGAATCAACTTAAATGTCCATCAGCTGACCAGTGGCTAATGAAAATGTGGTACACACGTACACACACACACCCACACACACACACCCGGGATACTATCCAGCCATTAAAGAGAATGAAATAACGTCAGTTGCAGCAACTTGGATGGAATTGGAGAACATCATCGTAAGTGAACTAACACAGGAACAGAACACCAAACACTGTGTGTTCTCACTTATGCGTGGGAGCTAAACGAAGGACCTGCAAAGTCAACGAGATGGTGTGATGAACACTGGAGACTCAGCAGGGTGGGGGGAGGGACAGAAACTCCACTATGGGGTGCAGCGTGCACAGGAGGGAGTGGGTGCACTTAGAGCCCAGGCTTCGCTGCCATCCAGTGCGGCCATGTCACCAAAAGCTATGTGTGCCCCATAAAGCTACTGAATTAATTAGTTAATTAACGCCTATGTCACGACAAACTTTAAGAATCTTCAGAAGCGGCAACAAAAATTGAGTTAGACGACTACCAGGGAAGCTGGGTTGTGTCTGGCTATTTCCTGTTAGGTATTAGTCCTGGATCCCCAATGACTTGAACTGAAAAGGAATCAAGTTAAATGAAAATACAGACACCTGCCATCAGCACGTATTTACTTATCGGTGTATTAAAACACAATTGCGATGTTTAGCGAACGTCTCAATCCTCACATCTCTGCAAGGTAGGTCAAAGAGGAATGGTTCTTCTCAGTGAGCCAGAGAAATGGCTGTGCAAAGCCAAGGAACATGGCCAGTCACAATGACAGTTGGACAGTGCCCAGCCTCCTGTCCACATGCCGACATCAGGCTTCATCTCTGAACAGTGGTTTGGTTGCTGCAGAAAACTGTAAAAACTGGGTGCAAAAGTAAAACACAACCTTGTCTGGTTAAGTCTGGTTCCTCTGAAATTAGGAAAGCCTAGTGTTTAAGAATAGGAGTTAAGCCGGGCTCGGTGGCTCAGCCTGTAATCCCGCACCTTTGGGAGGCTGAGGTGAGTGGACTGCCTGAGCCCGCAGGTTTGCGATCCGCCTAGGCAACTTGGCGAGACTTCATCTCTACAATAAATCAAAATGAGCCAGGCGTGGTAGCACGCACCTGTAGTTCCAGCTACTTGGAAGGCTGAGGCAGAAGGATCGCCGGAGCCCAGCAGGTCGAGGCTGCGGTGGCCGGGACTGGCCACTGCACTCCAGTCTGGGCGACAGAGTGAGACTCCAACTCAAAAAAAAAAAAAAGAATAGTAGTTAAATCACTATTTATGGAAACACATTCTAATACAGCAAGTTTTCTGTTGGACGTTGTGGGTCTGGAAGAAACGCTCCCTCTTCTTTTTACATTTTCCTCATCCGCTTCTTGCAGCGCTGGTTGAAAACAGGGGAGGGCCCCATGAGGCTGTCCGTGGAGTGGGAGCCACAGCTGCTGTCAGAGTCATCAGGGCTCTGAGGGATCCCAGCTTCACTCATGCCTGACATGGGCTCCTCAAAGACATCGCTGCCCAGCACGCCGTGCCCAGAGACATTGCCTTCTTCACTCTCCTGAGGCTCCATTTTCACATGGGCCAGATTCCACAGGGGAGAAGCATTGACCTCTGCACCTAGAACCAGAAAAGACAAACGTAGGCTCAGTGGTCAGCCAAGTGTGACACCAGGGAGAGTAAGTACATTCCCCAGACTGACTCTCGTTCTCTGAGCTGTTTTCACTCTGACTCTGTCCTTGGCTAGAGAATACGATTGTTCTTCTCTGCTTCAAAAAGCGATCAGCAACAAAAAATGACCGGCTCTGAGCATCGTCTTTTCTACTTCTTCCACCTTTCGTTCCTCTGCCTCCCCCACCCCTTTCTGGCTAAACCAGGGAAATGAAACTCTGTAGGTGGAGAAGATTCCCGGGCTCCCAGCCCAGAGACGCGTACAGCCATGGGCCTTGCTTGGTTGTTTAGTCTGCCTGTCCTTTCCTCCTTTTATGGGGCTGTCTTGCTTTCCTGCCTTTTGTTTGGATCTCTGGTCCTCTCTCATGGAAAGTTAACGATCACTATATAATGCTGACAGCAGTTCCTTACCTGGTCTCCACTGACAAGAGACATGGTCCCTCAGTCTGCAGTAATTTTGCTTGGGACTTCCCATCTCTCTTTTTTTTTAAATTAGGGTTTTTTTGAGTTGGAGTCTCACTCCATCGCCCAGGCTTGAGTGCAGTGGCACGCTCACGGCCATTCCAGTGTCGACCTGCTGGGGTCTGGTGATCCTTCTGCCTCAGCCTTTCGAGTAGCTGGGACTACCGGCATGCGGTACCACACCTGGCTAATTTTTGATTTATTGTAGAGACAAGGCCTCACCAAGCTGCCCAGGCTGGTCTCGAACCCATGGGCTCAGGTAATCTACTCGCCTCAGCCTCCCTAAGTACTGGGATTACCAGCTGAGCCACCAAGCCCAGCCAATTTCTGTTTTATTTTAAAGATGTGCAGTACAAGTCAGGACTGGGAACATAAGTGGTCTACGTGCAGGTGAAGCGTGGGCCTCCCATTTGACCTCACTTTGCCTGGATTGAAATCATGCACCCTTACTGATGTTATGTGCCCTTCCCCCCCAGCAGGGTCTTGTCACTGTCAATCCCTTTCTTGCAGTGTCACGATCATTCAGGGTCCACTTGTGAGTGAGAACATGTGGTACTCAGCTCTTTGTTTCTGTGCTAGATCATGGAGTATGATAGACTATAAATCCATCCAAGGTGCTGCAAAGTCTGTCCTCCCATCTCTCTGTGTATTCTGCAATGCTGTTCTGCTATGGTTATTACTTCTTTCATGATGTAAAGTTTTTGGCCCAACACTTTTAAAAGTATGGCCTAATTCCATCTAGACCATATTTGAAGATTTTACTATTAGAATCATTTGTACATTGATTAAATGACAATTTATATTTGTAAACAACTGAGTGCCCAGAATAACTTGCAGCCTAACTAGCTCAATCAGTCTGTTGTCCTGGTTCCTGAGGCAATCACAGAGTCTATGGAAGAAGAGGCCAGCTGCCTGTAACTGGGAAGCCTATTTCAATGTCTAATTTCCATTTGTTAGGATACTCTAACAGAAAAGCCACTCAAACATCCTTGAGCAAGAACACCCCTCAGTCTCTCTGGCAGCAGCTTTGCTCAACTAAGCACGGCATCAGGAAGGACCAGGACAAAACACTAGAGGAAGGGATGTCTGTCCAACTGGCCGGATCAGCCGAGCCACCATGGTCATCAGGACAACACATACTGCACCTACACCTTAACCAGGGATTATTTTATTTAATTTTAATTTTTTCAGTTGCAGTCTCACTCTGTCTTCCAGGTTGGAGTGCAGTGGCATGCTCATGGCCACTGCAGCCTAGACCTGCTGGGCTCGGGCAATCATCCCCCGTCAGCCTTCCAAGTAGCTGAAACTACAGGCATGCACCACCACGCCTGGCTAATTTTTTTATTTACTGTAGAGACAAGGTCTCACCAAGTTGCCCAGACTGAGAACACCAACTTCTTCTTCATTTTTCTTTTTTTGAGTTGGAGTCTCACTCTGTCGCCTAGGCTAGAGTGCAGTGGCACACTCATGGCCACCCCAGCATCAACCTGCTGGGCTCCAGTGATCCTTCCAGCTAATTTTTTTTATCTATTGTAGAGACAAGGTCTTGCCAAGTTGCCTGGGCTGGTCTCGAACCCGCGAGCTCAGGCAATCTTCTCACCTCAGCCTCCCAAAACGCTGGGATGACAGGCATGAGACACTGTGCCCAGCCAACCAGGGATTATTTTAAAGAAAGCCTGTGAAGCTGTGCTGGTCCTCTCTTCGCTGACTGGAGAGAGAAGAGAGCTGGGATCTCTCTGTCTGTGAGGCCAGTTTTGCTCTAGGCCTTTCCATCCTGCCCACTCCCACTTTTGTTCTCCTATTCCCAGAGCTTGATTCCAAAAAGCCAAACGTACTAAGAACGGCAGATCTCCTGGAACCAAAGTGAGCACGGTTACTCCTCTTACTTGCAGCCTGTGGCGAAGCGTCTGCCTCCAGGTTAGCAGGGAAGCGCTCACTCTGAGCCCCAAGGACACCCATGGGTAGTGGCTGCTCTCCAGACACAAGGTCGGCCTCCGGCTCCTCGCTGACGGGAAAGGGGATGTCACTCACGGGCTCCTCCTTGACCTTCACAGGCTTGGCATCCTCGGTGGCCTTCTCGGGATTGACGATCCTTTCGTACTCTTCGGAGAGTTGCTTACTAATCTGTTGGCAAGCAAGATCCGTTTTCCAAGGAAGTGTTAAAAGCATTTCCCATGGACAAGTCAGCAGAACGTGGGTAACAGAGAAGCTTTAACACTCACAGCCAATGGCAGGCACCGTTTGAGGTGCTGGGTTTGCATTTACGTGTGATGGAAAGAAAATCTGTTTGGCAGAGAATGTGTGTATCGTTAATTAAGAGTTACAGGGAGGTAAAAAACAAAGTTATATTGTGTTAAAGATAACTCAGAGCTGGGACAAAATATTAAATTTTTGTCTATAGAAACTAATAGCTCACACATGTATCCTATGTAGATAATGAATGGTATGGCACATAAGATCACTTAGCAAAGACCTTTTGGTTGGGTGTTAAAAATTCTTAACAATGGCCGGGCTTGGTGCCTCAGCCTGTAATCCCAGCACTTTGGGAGGCCAAGGCAAGTGGATTGCCTGAGCCTGCGGGTTCGAGATCCACCAGGGCAATTTGACAAGACCCCCCATGTCTCTACAATAAATCAAAAATTAGCTGGGCATAGCAGCGTACGCCTATAGATCCGGCTACTTGGAAAGCTGAGGTGGAAGAATTGCCAGAGCCCAGCAGGTTGAGGCTGCAGTGGCCGGGAGCGTGCTACTGCACTCTAGTCTGGGCGACAGAGTAAGACTCCAACTCAAAAAAAAAAAAAATTCCTATCAAGATTTCTTAAAGGGCTGGGCTCAGTGGCTTAGCCTGTAATTCTAGCATTTTGGGAGGCTGAGGTGAGTGGATTGCCTGAACCCACGAGTTCGAGACCAGCCCAGGCAACTTGGCAAGATCTTGTCTCTACAATAAATAACAACAACAAAAAATTAGCTGGGCGTGGTAGTGCACACCTGTAATTCCAGCAACTTGGAAGGCTGGCATGAAAGGATCACTGGAGCCCAGCAGGTCAACGCTGGGATGGCCATGAGCATGCCACTGCATTCCAGCCTGGGCAATGGAATGAGACTCCAACTCAAAAAAAAAAAAGATATTTCTTAAAGAACTACCATTCAATCTAGCAATCCCACTACTGGGTATATATTCAAAGAGAAAGAAATCATTATACCAAAAAGACTGCTGGGCATGGTAGCTCATACCTGTAATCCCAACAACTTTGGGAGGCCGAGGTGAGAGGACTGCCTGAACCCAGGGGTTTGAGACCAGCCTGGGCACATGGTAAGACCTTGTTATTATAATAACTAAAAAAATTAGCTGGGCATGGTGGCACATGCCTGTAGTTTCAGCTACTTGGAAGGCTGAGGTGGAAGGATCTCCTGAGTCCAGCAGGTTAAAGCTGCAGTAGCTGTAAGCCTGCCACTTTAGCCGGGGTTACAGAGTGAGACTCCAACTTGGGGGTGGGGGAGAGAAGATAACTGTACTTGTATGTTTATTTCAGCCTATTTCAACAGCAAGGATATGGAATCAACCTAAGTTTCCATCAATGGAAGACTGAATAAATAAAATGGGGTATACCAGCCTGAGCAACATGACAAGAACTCGTCTCTACAATAAATTTAAAAAATTGGCCGGGCTCGGTGGCTCAGCCTGTAATCCCGCGCCTTTGGGAGGCTGAGGTGAGTGGATTGCCTGAGCCCGCGGGTTCGAGACCCACCTGGGCAACTTGGAGAGACCTCATCTCTACAATAAATCAAAAAAATGAGCCGGGCATGGTAGCGCACACCTGTAGTTCCAGTTACTTGGAAGGCTGAGGTGGAAGGATCGCCGGAGCCCAGCAGGTCGAGGCTGCGGTGGCTGGGAGTGGCCACTGCACTCCAGTCTGGGCGACAGAGACTCCAACTCAAAAAAAAAAAAAATTAGTCAGGCTTAGAGGTGCATGCCTGTGTTACCAGTACTCGGAAGGCTGAAGTGGAAGGATCACGTAGGCCCAGCAGGTCGAGGCTGCAGTGGCTGGGAGTGGCCACTGCACTCCAGTCTGGGCGACAGAGACTCCGACTCAAAAAAAAAAATTAGTCAGGCTTGGAGGTGCATGCCTGTGTTACCAGTACTCGGAAGGCTGAAGTGGAAGGATCACGTAGGCCCAGCAGGTCGAGGCTGTGGTGGCACTTTAGCCTGGGTGAGAGTGAAACTCCGACTCAAAAAAAAAGGGAGTATACACACACACAAACACATACAGTGCCTATATATATATACATTTTAAGAAAGGAAAAAAACTATTAAGTTGTAGAATTCAATAAGATGGATACAAGTCACATTTGACTTCTATAAGAGGTGCTCAAAGTGGTTACCATCAGTGTCCAAACACTTCTGATTATGGCAAACACTTCTTAATGTATATACGTTTTTTAGCATCCTGGCATACATATATATATATCAGGAATTCTACTCAGCCATGAGAAAGAATGAAATCATGTTCTGCAGCAACATGGATGGAACAGGAGGCCATTACTTAAGTGAAATAACTTAGAAAGTCAAGTACCGCATGCTCTCACTTGTAAGTGGGAGCTAAACAGTGGGTACACATGGATGTATAGAATGGAGTAACAGCCATTGGAGATTGCTGAAGGGGAGGGCGGGAGCGGGATGCGGTTGAAAATTACCTATTGGGTATTTGGGTGATGGGTACACTAAAAGCCCAGACTGCATGCATGTAAGAAATCTGCACTTGTACCCCCGAATATATTTAAAAAAGAAAAAATATATATATATATCAAAAAATATATATATATATATATTTTGAGTTGGAGTCTCACTCTGTCACCTGGCTGTAGAGATGAGGAGGTCTCGCCAAATTGCCCAGGCTGTTCTCGAACCTGTGAGCTCAGGCAATCCCCTCACCTCGGCCTTCCAAAGTGCTGGGATTATAGGCTTGAGCTATTGCACCTGGTATAAATACATATTTTACTGAGAGTTCTTAATTGTATTTTTATTTTGAGTTAGTGTCTGACTCTGATGCCCAGGCTAGAGTGCAGTGGTGTGATTGTGACTATTGCAGCCTCGACTTGCTAGGCTCAGGCAATCCTCCCACCTCAGCCTTCTAAGTAACTGGGACTATAGGCGTGCGCCACCACACCTGGTTGGTTTTTTGATTTATTACAGAGATGAAGTCTTACCAACTGCCCATGCTGGTCTTGAACCCTTGGCCTCTCTTTTTTTTTTTTTTTTTTTGAGTTGGAGTCTCACTCTCTCACCCAGACTGGAATGCAGTGGCAGTGGCCGTTCCCGGCTACCGCAGCCTCGACCTGCTGGGCTCCGGAGATCCTTCCGCCTCAGCCTTCCAAGTAGCTGGAACTACAGGCACGCGCTACCACACCTGGCTAATTTTTTTTAATTTATTGTAGCGATGAGGTCTCACCAAGTTGCCCAGGCAGGTCTCGAACTTGCGGGCTCAGGCAATCCACTCACCTCAGCCTCCCAAAGGCACGGGATTACAGGCTGAGCCACTGAGCCCGACTGGCCTCTTTTTTTTTTTTGAGCTGGAGTCTTATTCTATCACCCAGACTAGAGTGCAGTGGCCGCTCCCGGTCACAGCAGCCTCGACCTACTGGGCTCTGGCGATTCTTCTGCCTCAGCCTTCCAAGTAGCTGGAACTACAGGCACGCGCTACCACGCCCGGCTAATTTTTGATTTATTGTACAGATGAGGTCTTGCCAAGTTGCCCAGGCGGGTCTCGAGCCTGCGGGCTCAGGCAATTCACTCACCTCAGTCTCCCAAAGCACTAGGATTACAGGCTGAGCCACCGAGCCCGGCTCAGTCTCTCTCTCTCTTTTTTTTTTTAAGTTTTTAAACAAAGTTTATTAGAGAAAGGAAGAAAAGAAAGGGTAACATGCCAGAGCTGGCACAGGTGAAAGGAACTGCACGCCCAGCCTTCTCATCACATTCTTCTCATCCTCTGGGGAGGCTAAAACCGTGTACAGATGACACGCTGAGAATCACAAGGGCTGGATAAACATTTCTGGTTCAAGCCAAAATTAGTCTCCCAGCCTATCCTTCAGGTGATGCCATCTCTCTGCGGTCTGGATTTTCATAGCACTTAACTCCATCTGAATTGTGTTGCATGTGTGTGTTTACAAACAGGGTCTTGCTGTGTTGTCCGGGTGGGCCTGGAACTCCTGGCCTTGTGGCAGCCTCCTGCCTCAGCCTCCTGAGTAGCTGGAACTCTAGGCATGGGCCACCACACCCAGCTTGTGAAATTGTTTTGGTCATTTTGTTTTCTTGCTTTTGTTTCCTCTCAACAAGAATGGAAGCTCAAGGAACTTGTTGACGACCGAACCCCACACTGCCTAACTCACAATAAGCACTCAATAAATGCTTGCTGGATAAAAGCATGCCAACCACATTATTGCAAATTCCACATGCCTGTGTACACTTTCTTCCAGAGGAAATATCAGTGAATGTGGTCATTCACTGACTAAAGGGGCCCATGGTGTCTGGCCAGGATAAAAGTGTGTTAAGTTCACTCTGTCCCAAGACTCATGTCCTACACTTGAGAGCAAGTGTTGTGGGACCCTGCTGACACCCAGCCCAGCCAGACATCTGCGCCCACATCTCCACAGGCACCTCACCTGGAGCATGTAGCTGTGATAGTCCTTGATGCGGTGCTGCCAGAACTTCTGGAGGGACAGCACGCTGCCAACGCCTGCTTCGTGGAACACCTGCTCCACGACGTCGGGGAACGGAGTCTGTCCCAGCCGGGCCTCTCGGTCCACGGCAACACGCAGCAGCTTGGTGAATTTGAGGCAGTACTCATGAGCCACATCTGTGAGGGTCTCCAGGACACTTTCGTTGGCACTCTCGAAGCCTGCATGGGCCAGGACTGTGGCCACTGCCTGGTAGAGGAGCTGCCGACAAGAGTGCCAGCTGAGCTCAGTCACCGGCTCCCCCTTCCCCCTGCATGTAGAGATATGGATTGGCATGAGTGCTCTGGCAAAGGTATGGCCTGGCCCGTGTCCCTGGAGCTTCCAATTCCAGCCACACCACTGGCCCAGCTTTCTGGGGAAGTTCTATCCAAAATGGAATCCGCCCGCCTCTGCCTCTGCCTCCCAAAGTGCTGGGGTTACAGCTGTGAGCCGTGACATCCAGCACAGGATTAAGTTTGATGGTGTGTCTCAGACACTGCTCAGTTCCACCCTGCCACTAACAGGGCACGTCTCAGCTGCCCACCGTCATACCCCTGACTCCTCCAGTGACACAATGTGAACAGCCAATGCACGTCTGTCACAAGGCAGTACAAAAGGGCGTCCAGCAAAAAGGATGCTTCCTCCTTCTTGCAACGGCTCGACTGTGATCACTTTTAGTATTGAGTGTTTTTGTGAGGCAGGGTCTCACTCTGTTGTTCGGGCTGGAGTGCAGTGGTGCAATCATATCACAGCTCATCATAGCCTCAAACTCCTGGGCTCAAGTAGTCTGCCTGCCTCAGCCTCCTGCATAGCTGGGTTTACAGGCATGCACCACCACACCTGGCAAACTTTTCTGTTTTTTTGTAGAGATAAAGTCTTGTTTTGTTGCTCAGGCTTGTCTCCAACCCTGGGCTCAAGCAGTTCTCCTGCGGTAGCCTCCCAAAATGCCGGGATCAGGTGTGAGCCATGATGCCCAGTGGAGGGGTAAGTTTAATAGCATAGTTTAGACACTGCTCAGTGATGTTCTAATTATCTCACCACAACACAGTATCCACACATGTTAGGCAACAGTGGACTTCCAGAAGTTCAGTTTTTATTTTTTATTTTTAGAGAGAGTCCTATTCTGTCACCCAGGTTGGAGTACAGTGGTGCCATTATAGCTCACTGTAGCCTCAAACTCCCAGGCTCAAGTGATCCTCCCACCTCAGCTTCCCAAGTAGCTGGGACATAGGATTATGCCACCACATTCAGCTAACCTAAAAAATTTTTTAGCTGGGCGTGGTGGATGATGTCCTTTAATCCCACCACTCTGTGAGGCCAAGGTAGAAATTTTTTTGGAAGAGACAAGGCTTCTCTATGTTGCCCAGACTAAACTCAAACTCCTGGTCTCCAGTGATTATCCCTCCTTCGCCTCCCAAAGTGCTGGGATTATAGGCATGAGCATCTAGTCTCTAATCAGAAGACCAATTCTTACATAATTACTAGAATCTATTTTTAAAATCAGGAAGCAACTCAACTTTATAAAAGCAGCCAGGCGCAGTGGCTCACACCAGTAAGCAAAAGGATTGCCTGAACTCAGGGGTTTGAGACCAGCCCGAGCAACTTGGCAAGACCTTGTCTCTACAATAAAAAAAAAAAAAAAAAAATTAGCCGGGCATGGTGGCGCATGCCTGTGGTTCCAGCTACATTGGAGGGCTGAGGTAGAAGGATCACCTAAGCCCAGCAGATTGAGGCTGTGGTGGCCATGAGCGTGCTACTGCATTCTAGCCTGGGAGACAGAGTGAGACTCCAATGCAAAAAAAAAAAAGAAAAAAAGCAATTAAAAACACATAGCTTACCAAGTATTTTCATCCAATTCTATGCTGAGAAATGGGTAGGATTCATATTATTATAATTACTATTTGCTTGGATAGGAAATTGGGGCTCAAAGGAGCTACCTTGTCAAAAGTTTAGGTATTATTAATAAGCAGTGGAGCCTCTGATTCCAGAACCCTTATTCTTCATAATACACCATTTCGCCCCTAATCACGACCATGGAAATCTTAATCTTTCCAAGAAAAGCCTTCAAAAACCTATCTGGTCTTCTTAAAATAACTTAGCAAGCTTTTGAGAATTTACCTGTCTCCTGAAATTTCCTACTGGCTTCTACCTCGCTCTGACAAAAGAATTATTTTATCGACACAAATGAAACAGAGCACCGAGTCATTCTTCCTTGGTTCCTACTTGGCATGTGTCATCACGCACCGTACAAGAGTCTGGGAAGCAATTCACCCACTTAACTATAATCTGCACAGGAGCAACTACTGTAACTCACATAACAGTTTGAAATACAACAACCAATTGCCAAGTAGCTTTTCATTTAACATTCCATCATCATTTCCACGGCCAGCATCTCTGGGGCAAAGGCTAAGGGCTTCAGAAGTACTAAATAAACAGAACTAAACCAGTATCACTTCACTAGAGTAATATCTGCACCTTTAAAATGATTTTTCGGTACTTCCATGGCTGATTCAAATTACGTTTGTTATACAACTTATTTATTTATTTATTTATTTGAGTTGGAGTCTCACTCTGTCTCTCAGATTGAAGTGCAATGGCTGCTCCCGGCCACCACAGCCTCAACTTGCTGGGCTCCAAGCGATCCTTCCGCCTCAAGCCTTCCAAGTAGCTGGAACTACAGGTGCATGCTACCATGCCCGGCTAATTTTTTTGATTTATTGTAGGGATGAGGTCTTGCCAAGTTGCCCAAGTGGGTCTCGAACCCGCGGGCTCCCAAAGGCATGGGATTACAGGCTGAGCCCCGAGCCCGGCTGTTATACAGTTTATTAACCTTTGAACTCGATGTCTCCTCTGAGGGTACATCAAAGTCTGGCAACCCACTTGGATGTCCCCTCTCAGAGGACAAACTTATGCCAGTACAAAATTTTTTAAAAATGCATGTTTCCTTGAAGTTTTCCATTCAAATTGCATGAAACAGCAAATAAAAAGATGGAATATATACTGAGATATACATGAAAAAAATCAGCTGGCATTATGTAGACAGAGAATGTGTGAAGTGCTTTCATAGTAGTGCACAGACTGGACAATAAATTACATACTGTTAATATGGGAGGAAGAAAAGGAGGACTGCATTGTCTGCTCAAATAGAAAAATACCAGGTGGAAGATGTCTAACAAGCTACTATTGTACAACATGTATCAATGCACCTACAATGCACGCTGGTAACTGTTTCACACATTACCACGTTAGAAAAATTTAAGATATAACATTTTGATTTTTTTTTTTGAGTTGGAGTCTTACTCTATCACCCAGACTGGAGTGCAATGGCAAGCTCCCGGCCACTGCAGCCTTGACCTGCTGGGCTCCGGCGATCCTTCTGCCTCAGCCTTCCAAGTAGCTGGAACTACAGGTGTGCGCCACCACGCCCGGCTAATTTTTGATTTATTGTAAAGATGAGGTCTCACCAAGTTGCCCGGGTGGGTCTCAAACCTGCAGGCTCAGGCAATCCTCTCATCTCGGCCTCCCAAAGTGCTGGGATTACAGACTGAGCTACCGAGCCCGGCCAACATTTTGATTTTTTTGTCATAAATAAGTTCCTCAATGTCCAAAACTCCATTATAAGTCAAATATCATTACTTCTAATAATTGGTGCCAAAGCTATACTATTTAATATGAAATGATTTGTTTTCCACTATTTTATTTAAAAAGTGTGGTTGAGTTGCTGGTAGGTGATCTGTGAGGTGACTCTGAGTGCAAAGGGTTAAATGTGTATCAGACAAAACTAGGTATAAACTTTTGATGGTCAGCACTCTTACTAGCTACTAAAAGAAATTTAGCATAAAAAGTATAAAATTATAAATAGCAGCATCAGCTTAGTATGATGGATGATATTATCTTGTTGAAATTGAATTGCCCTCAAAATGTGAATGTGGTATGGACTTCAACAGAGCAAGTTTTTTGAGTTGGGCACATGTATAGTAGCATGTGCCCTGCATGTAATAACACAGTTACCACCCCCTTCTCAGTATTCCAATGACTTCAGAATCTTCAACTGTACATGCCTTGACATCACATAGCTTCTGACTGGCCCATCTGCAACCTTGACACATTTAGTCTATTTCTGTTATTTTTCTCATTAGTTTAAGACCACTAAGACAATAATTGTTACCATCCAATAGGCAGATGTAATAAATGATATACAATATCACTTCTGCACCATTCCTGCAAGACATAGAGGGGGGACCCCCCAAAAATTGGAATTATCTTTTGAAGGGCAGACCTATCAGCATCAGCATACAGGCTAGCATTGTTATGAGAGGCTGCATTCGGCTTCGAGGAATTTTTTTTGGAGATTCTTTCCACATGTTTGACTATTTCATGATGGGTAATTTATGAGTTCATCTGCCCAAACCACGCTGACTGTTCAGAAATGTTTGACCAAAAATGGCATGAACCTTGTGCCCTAACCCTCCCTATTCACCTGATTTCCCTTTGTGTTTCCCCAGATGAAAAAAGTCCTCAAAGGGAAATGTTTTGCCCATGTGGAAGAGGGGAAACAAAAAAAATGGAAGAAACACTAAAAGGCATCAAAACTGACAAATTCAAAAACTGTTTTGAGCAGTGGCAAAAGCATCTCGATAGGTGAACTCCTTGTTTTGTTTTGTTTTTTTTGAGTTGGAGTCTTATTCTATCGCCCAGGCAAGAGTGCAGTGGCACACTCACGGCTACCCCAGTGTCGACCTGGGCTCTGGCTATCCTTCCGCCTCAGTCTTCCAAGTAGTCAGAACTACAGGCACATACTACCATGCCCAGCTAATTTTTTGTTTGATTTGATTGTAGAGATGAGGTCTCGCCAAATTGCCTGGGCTGGTCTCAAACCTGTGGGCTCAGGCAAGCCACTCGTCTCAGCCTCCCCAGGTGCTGGGATTACAGGCTGAGCCACCAAGCCCGGCCTAAATATGCAGTTTTTTTTGGAGTAGGAGTCTCACTCTGTCACCTAGACTGGAGTGCAGTGGCCGCTCCTGGCCACTGCAGCCTTGACCTGCTGGGGCTCCGGTGATCCTTCCGCCTCAGCCTTCCAAGTAGTTGGAACTACAGGTGCACGCTACCACACCCAGCTAATTTTTTTGATTTATTGTAGAGGTGAGGTCTCACCAAGTTGCCCAGGTGGGTCTCAAACCCGCAGGCTCAGGTAATCAACTCACCTCAGCCTCCCAAGGCACAGGATTACAGGCTGAGCCACCGAGCCCGGCTAAATATGCAGTTTTTAATAAATAAATTCTGGGGTTCATTGAGATCTCCCCTCATACTGAATCTAAATCTAATCTTGAGGAAATAATCAGCAAATCAGTGGGCCATTCGACAAAGCAAGTGACCTAAACTTCTAAAGAGGCTTAACAACCAGATGCAATGTGTGAATCTTTGTTACATATTGCAAGGACAACTGGAGGAATCTGAATGTGGACTTACTGAGTGATATTACTTAACTAATGTCCATTTACTTTGGTTTGATAAGCATATTGTGATTATACAGGAAAACTGTTTTACTAGGGTATACATGCTAAGGCAATCAAGGGTGAAATAAAAAAAAAAATCTTGTGTATATAAGTCTTGTATACATACAGAGGGTGCCAAAAAAATGTATATACTTTTTTTTTGAGTTGGAATCTCACTCTATGACCTAGGCTGGAGTGCAGTGGCACACTTATGGCCACTGCAGCCTTAACCTGCTGGGCTCAGGCGATCCTTCTGCCTCAGCCTTCCTTGTAGCTAGAACCACAGGTGTGTACCACCATGCCTGGCTAATTTTTGATTTATTGCAGAGACGAGGTCTCATCAAGTTGCCCAGGCCAGCCTTGAACCTGTGGGGTTCAGGCAATCCTCTTGCCTCCACCTCCTAAAGTGCTAGGATTATAGGTGTGAGCTACTGCGCCTGGTTTATAAATTTTAAGAAAGGAAAAAAACTATTAAAAGTGTAATATTCAATATATACCGATAATAAAAGATGAACACAAGTCACGTTTGCCTTCTGCAATTACAAGAGGTACTCAAAGTTGCTACCATCAGCATCTAGACACTTCTGATGACAGTGAACTACTGCAGGACTTGATGCTTTGTGAGGTCTCCTGGATTTTCCCTTGTGCACATCACACACAGGATCATGCATGTCAAACTTGTTACGAACGCATGCAATTGTTAGGCGTGTTGGAGGTTCTGTTGTATACTCACACCTCCATTGTTGTCGTACTTCCACAATGTTCTTGAATTTTTCCTTTTTTTGAGTTGTAGTCTCACTCTGTCTCCCAGACTGGAGTACAGTGGCATGCTCATGGCCATGGCAACCTCGACCTGCTGGGCTCAGGCAATCCTTTCACCTCAACCTTCCAAGTAGTTGGAACTATAAACACGTGCCACCACAACTGGCTAATTTTTTTGATTTATTGTAAAGATGAGGTCTTGCCAAGTTGCCCAGGCTGGTCTTGAATCCATGGGCTCAGACAATCCTCTCACCTTTGTCTCCCAAAGTGCTGGGATCATAGGTGTGAGCCACCATGCCTGGCCTGTGTTTGAATTTCAAAGATCAATTCAAAATGGTCTTGCGCTCCTTGAATGACAACTGAGCTTCTGCCATTTTCTTTGACCATCATGTCGCATGGTGATGCTAGCATTCATTTGATTAGTGCCATCTTTTGAGCAAACATCACACTACACACTGCTACCATAATTCAATTCAACTTTGAAAAGTAATACATAGATCACATCTCTTAAAATGTGTATACGTTTTTTTGGCTTCCCCCAGTATATGCACACTTATGCATTCACATGTGAGAAAGTAAATTTGGCATAATGTTAGCCATTGGTGAATCCAGGTGAAGAGTCTTTGGATGTTCATTGTACTACTTGGCATTAAATACAAACTTACATACTGAAGTCTAATAGCAGCACTAAGTTATAAGGCAGTGTTTCAGAGGATCTGCCAGGGCTTCTCAAACTTAAGTGCACATGTGACTCTTCAGGAGAGCTTGTTAAAATGCAGATTCTGATTTAGCAAATAAGATGGGGCCTGGAGTCTGCATTTTTAACAAGCTCCCAGGTGATGTTGATGCCTCTGCTCTTAGATCAGATGTTGAGTAGCAAAGATCCAGAACATGTTTAAACTGTGTTATCAAGATGAAAATGCACAACTTAAAAACTCTTGTGCAGACTTGTGGATTCCTAATAATACCAGAACAAGTCCATGAACCCCAACTGGAAGACAATGCGCGAAAACTATAACATGCGTTTCACATAGGAAGACTCAGCTCCCAGAACTACGAGGCCATGGCCTTTTTATATACCACTGTATTACTTTGTGCCTAGTAAAGTGCTTGCACAGAGTAGGCACTCAATAAATATTTGTTGCATCAGAACATTTAAAAATACAGAATGGGCCGGGCACGGTGGCTCACACCTATAATCCCAGCACTTTCAGAGGTCGAAGTGAGAGGACTGCCTGACCCTATGGGTTCAAGGCCAGCCTGGGCAACCTGGCGGGAACATATCTCTGCACTAAATCAAAAAATTAGCTGGGCGTGGTGGTGCATGCCTGTAGTACAGCTACTTGGAAGGCTGAGGCGGAAGGATCACCTGAGCCCAGCAGGTCGAGGTATGCCACTACACTCCAGCCTGGGTGACACAGTGAGACTCCAACTCAAAAAAAAAAAAATGCAGAATGGAGTACGAAGACTGGGGTTCAAAACATAGACTTCCCACTAATGACCTGAGAGCCCCTGGCCATGTCAGTTCCTCTTACCCTCATTTCCACATGTGGAAATGGAAATGCTATTACAGGCTTAACAGGGTCGCTAGGAAGATTACTTGAGAAGAGGAAGACATGGCAAAGGCTTGCTTACCGATAAAAGTCACTCTCCGGGTCACTGTGCCGGATCTGGAACGGTACACTGGGGTTCTTACAGTCCAGGGGCAGGAGGTCATCAGGGAGAGGTGGTGACCCCGGGCAGGAGGGAAGAGGCTCGCCCTCCTCAGTCTTCACACCTTCTGTCTGCTGCTGGTTCTGGGCCTGAGCCGTGGCAATCAGGTTGCGAAGGCGACGGTTGTGCTGGATCAACTGGATGGTGTGGATGGTGAGGCTGCACGGCTCAGAGGGGATGTCCAGCATGGTGGGGGGCTTGGGCTTGCTGGCTGAGGGCTGGTGCAGGGGTGGGTCATGGACTTCCACCAGACGGAACTCCCGTGGGAGCAAATCAAAGGAACTTCTGTTGGTCTGGCTTGATGATATGGGTATCTCTCCCCAGTATCTCAACATCTTGGAATAAGAAGAGACAAGACCTTGGGTTAAATGTAGATGATATCCTAAAAGTAACGTGTTTGTGATCAGGCAACTTTAGGTTATAGGCTTCTGCAGTGAGAAATACGAAGTCTTGCCAGTTATTTACATCAATGGCAGGCAGGCTGTTTGAGGCAGCTTAGAAAAATGTCTGTGTCAGCAAAACTGTAGGACCAAGGATGTTCTCCCTGGAGAAATTAAGAGAAATGTAACTGTTAGATGCAGGTCACTGTTACACAATGACAATTCTTACTGAACTGAACCACAAGGCAGAATTTGGGTCATTAGCACACTAATAGCTACAGTCATATCTGGGGCGCTAGTATCAACATTTTCCAGCGACCTCACTAACTCATTACCAGAACTCAAATCTCAGCTGGAAGTGGTGACTCATGCCTTTAATCCTAGCCCTTTGGGAGTCCAAGGTGGGAGGACTGCTCAAGGCAAGGAGTTTGAGACCAGCCTGGGTAACATAGCAAAACCTCATCTCTACAAAAGAAAAAAAAAAATTAGCCAGGGGTGTGGTGGCTCGTGTCTGTAGTCCCAGCTACTCAGGAGGCTGAGGCAGGAGGATCGCCTGAGCCCAGGAGTTTGAGGCTGTGGTGGGCCGTGATCGTGCTACTGCACTCCAGTCTGGGTGACAAAGTGAGACTCTGACTCAAACAAACACACAATGCAAATAAACAAAAACCACATCTAATGACTTTCTGTTGCTACTGGAAAAAGTCAGTTAGAATTATTTGGCTTGCATTCCACAAAATTCACCATCTGCTTTTAATTCACCTCTGCAGATTCATGGCTCATATGTCTCTTCAGCTTTTATCGGATGCCAGGCGTTATGTGGGAAGACAAAGGCCAGTGATGCATGACCCCTGACCTGAGATGAGGAAGAGAAACAGAAAACGTCAAGATGAAAGTAGGTGGCAAGTGCTGGCCTAGAGGCACACACACCTGGTGCAGCCACAGAGCTTGGGAGGAGCTTCCTGGCTGCAATCCTCCTGTGCTCTCACAAAATCATGAACTTCTACACTGACCCTTTAAGCTATGCTCTCTGCCAGAAATGCCCACCACACCCCTATCCCTGGCAGACTCATATCCACGTTTAAGTATAGCTTATGTGACCACCCTTATCACTCCTCCAGCTCATCTCCCTTTCTCCATTCTCGGAGCACGTTTCATGTCTCTGTCACAGCTTTAATCCTTAGTTTTAACCAGTTCTCACCTCAATTTTATTCTCCCGTCCACCCCTTATGATCTCGGTACAGGACTAGGCACGCAGCACATCTCGCATTTACCGAACGATTAGATATGCCCGGCTTCACCTTTATCTTATTATTATTACTTTTTGAGTCGGAGTCTCACTCTGTTGCCCAGACCGTAGGGTAGGGACACGCTCACGGCCACCGCAGCCTGGACCTGCTGGGCTCAGGGGATCCTTCCGCCTCAGCCTTCCAAGTAGCTGGAACCACTGGCGCATGTCACCCACACCCAGCTAATTTTTTGATTTATTGTAGAGTTGAGGTCTCGCCAAGTTGCCCAGGCTGAGCTCAGGCAGTCCTTCCACCTCGGCCATGCCAAGTAGCTGGAACCACAGGCACGCGCCACCATGCCCAGCGAGGCCTCGCCTCTGCAAGTGGCCCGGGCTGGGCTCAGGCCATCCTCTCGCCCCCGCCTCCCAAAGTGCAGGGATGACAGGCGGGAGCCACCGCGCCCGGTCTACCTTTCCGGTTTAGCGCAAGCAGATACCGTCGTCGAGGTGCAGGCCGAGTCCCGCGTCCTCCGGCGAGGGCGGAATCGAGAAGCGCGAGTCTGCGCGCTCAGCCGCC